AAAAATTTTTCTTAAGGATTTGTTGTATTAATTTGCTAATTAATTATAATAATTGTGACACAGGTGTTTTAATGCTAAAATTAAAAAATGAATAATATTTTGAAAGTAAAAAATTTTCTCACAACAAAAATATTTGCTTTAAAATTTTGAAGATTTTTTAAATTTATTGAAATTATTACCTTAAATAAATTTGATTTTATATGCAAAGGATATTTTAAGAATTTTTTATAATATTAAAAAGTTCGATTGTATTGGAGTTTCGTCGAATTATGAGGAATGCTAAAATAGTTACTTTTATTTTTTTATAAATCAATCCTAATAGCAATAAAATTCTTATGATTAAACTCTGATGTTCACTACTTAGTTTTTGAGAATTATTGGAAATTGATTTTTGAAAATGTAAAAATGAAAAAGGGGTTTGTCAGCAAATTTACTGCATTTTTTTTACTTGGAAAAAATTTTTATTTTCTTGGAAAATTTTTGTTTTCAAAGTCATCGAAAATAGATTACATTTTTTTCATAATCCGCTGTGCACTATTTTTTAACTAAAGTTACTTATTTTCAAAATTCGAATGAATTTCTTTTGATTTAAATTGCAATTTAAGAAAAGAAATTCATTTTCTCAGTTTTCACAAAACTTAAATATTTTCATTACCGTTACTGTTCTTTTTCAGTAAGTAACATTAAGTTTTTCATTTTTTTTTTTTTTTTAATTTTTCTTTGTGTAAATCTTTGTGCACAATCACATGCAATCACAATTACTTTTGCATACTGTACAGTTTGCTCGCTGGAGATTTTTATTATATCCTTTAAGGAATGATTTCTATATCATGCATGCATTCATGCCCGAATTCAAATTTACTTCCTTTAAGTAATTTTCTATTTTCTATATTTCTAGTTTTATTTTGATAGAATTTCGTATATTTTCATTATTTCTTTTTCCTTTTCTCTTTTGAACTGAATTGTTAAAAGAATAATTTAACCTGTCTTAAAAATCTGAATACTTACATGAAAAATAACTGAGAATATGTTATACATAAGTATGTATATATATGTAATATTTTTTATGATTTAGATTCGAAATGACAATCTAGTCGTGTGGCAATAATATTAACTTTAAGCAGACATGTAAAGAAATATGCTTCCCTTGATGACATAGTTAGTCGACTAAGATCAAGTTGTATGTTTAAATTTATTCTTGTTAAAAATTGAAATTATAATTTTTATGAATTGTGCTACATGACGTAATTTAAGGGCAGTATTGTTATCTTACCATATATCACATTGTCAGTTTTTAATGAAAATGCACTTAATCACGTTAGAAAAGCGCTATCAGGTCAATGGAAATGTTTTCTTTTCAATGGAAATGTGGTTTGTGCATGCCGTAATTATGAACAATTTTAAAAATTTCACTACTTTTTTTTATGCTATATTTAGTCTCCAGAACGAGATCTTTAATCGCAGGGAATATTTAAGATTTTCCAGTGCAATACTTGAATTTTTATATTCCGGTTTTGCTTAAATTAAAAGAAGACCAATCATAAATATTGACAAAGTAAAAAAGAAAGAATTTAAAAAAAAATTCTTTAAGTGTTTATGTATATTTCGTGTGTCTAGTCTTGGGTCTCATTTTCAAGTATAACGATATAAATATTTATATTTCGTATGACACAATAAAAATTTATTTCTTATCCATTTTTCGCATACAATATTTTTTGCATAAATTTGTCTATTTTTAGCATAAAATATAAAAAAAGAAAAGGATTATGAAATTCAATGAAAATAAACAAAATGCTATTGTAAACATACATACATAAGTGCGATTCTTTAATTCCCCAATTCCCAAAATGGTTCTTGCCTTATTAAAAACAAAAACACGAAAAAAGAAATAATAAATGAATGAAATAAAGAAGACGATGACTGACACAATACGAAGCTTTCATCCTACATAATATTTTCATGTTTCATATTATTGTTATATTGCTGTGTTATCCTTTTAATTCTGTTATACAACTTGTCTTTGAAATGTCATGAATTCAAAAATTATATGTAAAAAGTGAAAAATCTTTGTTCGTTTTATTTTTTCTTATATATTGTAAACTGTTGTCAGTTCAGACAAATTTCAAGGCTATAACAAATTTAAATTATACTTTATAAATTTGTGTATATTAAAAATACATATATATATAAATAATATGTATACGAAGTTTGTGTGAAAATAAATCGGGGAAAAAAAACAAAATTTTGTTGTCACATTCAATTAAATTTTATTTTTTATTAAATTTTTAAGAACACGTACGTATGTATGTATCTACATATCAAGTATTTGATAATATAAATTTAATTGATTTTATATTTATACAATTTACAATTATATAAGACAATATCAAAGTACTAAAATAGTAGATTTGATTATGTTTAATTGCTAACATGAATTTTAACTGACAAACAGTTCTGAGCTGTTAAAATGATAAATCTGTTACCAAACACTAACATTACCGTTATGTCACACTATTATAGATATTTATAACTATAGTCGCAACAGCTTTGGAGCTGTTACAGATATTGAATTGACAGGATTTTTTCAATCTGATTTTCTTTAATTTTGAAAGTCAGATCTCTCTTCTCCTCCTGCCCCTGCTCGAAAAATTTTTCGCAAAACCTTAAAGGAATTAAAAAGGAAAGGTAATGATAGTGATATTTATTGTAAAAAAATTAAAATGCCATTGGCCGCGCGCTGCTCCTCCGATATACAAGATAGGTAACAGATTTGTAGAAACAAAAATTTGCAGATTATGTCAGGGTCACACGCTGTTCACAAAGAAATATCTATTTGAAAATACTAGTGCGCCGACTTGTTCCTTTTGTGGCAATATTTTAAATGTTTAACATATTTTTATGGAATGCTCTGTTACTAGGGATTATTTGGAGTCCTGCTCCAAAGATTTCTATGAAATTTTGCTTCCAATAACCGAGAATAGCAATTTTATTAAGAGCATTTGTGACCTATTTAATATATGTGGAATTTGATTTAATTGATCTTGATACGAAGTATGTAAAGGTTATTATGCACAAAAAAGTAAAATTAAAAATATTGAAATTGTAAACTAACATAGTATTAAGTTAATAACATAAATATTAAGATAAATTAATTTTCTAAGCCCATAATGGTCCTGGCAGCCGAGGGTATTGATAATATTATTATAATTTATTATATAATGTTATATAAATAAATAAATAAATAAATAAAAATTAAAAATTTTTATTGTTATCATTTCTATTATAAACACAGACCAATTCGATTTAGTGATTTGTGTCTATGATAAAGTAATTCAAATTTTTACGATATAGTATACCACTATTAATACGAATCGTGAATCACTTAGTGATATGATACTTGTAGTAAGCCAACATGATTCATTCGCTTCTTAGTCGGCCAAATTGCTATTAATTAAAATTAGGGCGTATTTCCCTCTTACAAACTTATATTTTTCCTAAATGTATTAGTATTTATGGATTTCGAATAAAATTTTGTAATAATTAAGTTTTCTATTATAAATATAAAATTGTTTCTTGTTGTCGTAGTCCATGGTCTACGATTAAAATATTTCGATTTAGTACAAATAATATAGAAAATCATAATTTACTCTATTGTTGATTAATAACATTTTTAAAATGCAAAATCTTGAATTCATAATTAAATTAAGTACATACTTTATTATATGAAAAACATAATTTTTTTTTCATTAATTTCATTTGTGTGCGATGTTGAAGGAAAACAAAAATATTTTTTTTTAGAAAAAGCGTAAAATAGACGACTAAGAGAGGAAACGGAAACCATTGGATAAAACATAATTTTTTTTTATGTAACCCAAAGGACATTAATAATAATTAAAAGTTTCAAGAGTTAAAACTTGTTGCAAAAAAAAAAAAATATATACTTAAAGTCAACAAACAAAAAATAAATATTTTTTTGTTCGAGGCTTTCGAACTTTTTTAAATAACTTTCAACAATATTTTATATCTGTTAATTATAAAACAACTACTATACAGTTTTACTAGTATCCTTGTGGGTTATAACAGAGGTTTTTTTTTTTGTAAAAAAAATGAGTAAATTAATTTTATTTAAATATTAATAAGCTTGCTTCAAACAGAATATAATGTCAACCAAAAATATACTTGTTGACATTGATGTATTGTGTATACATTTATAATTATTATACAATATGTGTTATATTAAGTAAAAAGGGTATATACATACATACATACTATAAGCTGGTTGATATTTAGTCATTTTTTGTTATTTAAATATTTTACAACATTATTCATTCTGTTGCACAATAATGTCAAGTTTATTTTAATGGACAAATTTTTCTTTTTTTTTCTGGAAAAAATATTTTAGTAATTTTCACAAAAAAAAAAAAATTAATTAAAAAAAACGTTTGGAATTAAGGCTTAAATAAAATTTTTTTTTAGTAAAATAGAAATTTTTAATTGAAATTAATTAGAAGTCATAAAGGTATTAAGCATTATAATCCGATTTGTAAAATTAGCATGGAAGTTAAGGCTATGAAAATCTAATTTGCATAAAATGAAAATCTATAATAATCTAGAATATTTAATTTAGATTTTGGTTCTAATTTTGGACTTCACTTTTTTAGTCATTTGATCAAGTCAAAATATTCGACTAAGTTTTGCAGTAAGACAAAATTGTTGGATTTTGCAAATTCATAGCAAATACACACTTTATTGAAATTTCAAAAAAAACGAACAGAAATTATCGGTTTTACTGTTATACGTTCTAAATTTGAAAATACAAAATTTTATTAAATTAATTTTAAAGAATTTTAACAAAATTTTTCAGGTTTTATTTACAGGACATTATAGTTTATTTCCCTAATTCTTGAAAATAATTACTTTTTTTTTTGAATTAACAATAATACGTTTTTAAAAAAAAAAAAATTATACATATTTATAATTTGAATATTTTCTTTTTTCAGTTATAGCACCACGTTCTAGTACATTGAAAAAATTATCCCTAGTACAGAGCGATGGAAATTCATCACCAGATTTGAAAGCTAATCTTTTCAAAGGTACTATTAGGCGAATATAGAGTGTTGTATATTTAGTTAGAGTTTGCATTTGATATTCTTTTTATTTTTTTTTTTGGTTTATTTTTCGTTTTCTTTTTATTTTGAATGATGGTTTTTGATTTCTTTAATTTTCGAGTTGTACTGTAGTTGAATTAATTTTTATTAATTAAATAAAAATTAATTTATTTTTAATTTATTAATTTTGATTGATTTTATTTATAATTGCTAAAATTTATAACATTTTTTTTTAATTTTTTTTTGGTTTGCATTATTAAAAAGTTTCATGGTATTTAGAATAAAGCGTTTTTTGCAATAACAATAGAATGCCAATTTTACATTTTTTATTTAATTAATTAATTATTTATTAAATATAATTTAGAAATAATTATGACAAGTAATAAGGAAAATATAATAAATTATTTATTTAATTAATAAAATAATTGAATTTTTAATATGTTCAAATATTTTAGTTTCAGTGTAGTTGCAAACTCATAACATAGTTGCAAACTATACCAAATGCATATACACACAAGTTAGTATCCCCGATTATTTTTTAAAACAATCTTCAAACGGGGTTATGTGTTGCCTGAATGCTGAAATTTATTGACTATAATATTTATTAAATTCTTTGTTGAGTGATAAAAGAAGCTAGACAGAAATAATAACAAATTCAATTTGTTTAAAATGCTGACACTGTCGGTGATACTGACATATATGCGATTTTTTTTTTTTTAATTTATAAGAAATTTTCTATAGCCAACATTTATTTATTTTTTTTTTCAAATTAAAATATAGATTACAAGATATGAAATTAAATTGAACACAAACTATCAGTAATAGGCACAAACATTTGCGTATAGGACAATGTATTAGGTACATTTTTTGTTTTCATCTTCAATCAAAAAATCATGAATTAAAATATATTTTGATTAAATAATTTTATAAAAAACATTATTGCTAAATATCTAAATTACTCAAAAAAATCGGAAACAACTGCTTATTGTACCCCACATATAAAATATCTCACGTCAATGTTGTATTTGTTGCGAAGTATGTCAGTATTCGAGACACCTACCTTATATGATTATTAAGATAAACTAATTAATATCTTTTCAACTTTTCAAACAATACTGGAAATGAAAAAAGTGCTTTTTTTAAAAATACAATTTCCAAAATGTTTTTACAGTTTTTATTTGAATTTTTATTCCTCTTTAGTTTAATCTTTATTCTGCCCAAAATTTGATAAATATTTTGCAGTTATAGTTCCAAATCTACGAACAAAATTTATAAATTTTTTTATAAATTGAGGTAGTACTTTAGGTGTTATAATACATATTTTGTTATTATATGTAGTAATGATATCCTTCTCGGTGTACAGAAGGTAAACTGGTGTTTTAGCGCCGCTAAACAGAAGAGGATTTAAAAAGAGTTTATAGCAGCGAAATTTTTGTACAAATTCGGATATCATACATTTTTCTATCTCTAGAATTGCTATTCTAAATTAGGAAGATCTTACCATTCCTAATATAAATTCAGATTTTATTTATTTTTTAAATACATATGTAACACATATGAATGTATTTATATGTATGTATATTAATATGTATATATGTATGTGGTGTACAAAATTTAATTTAAAATTTAATTAAGTTGCAAAATTTACAAAGAATATATAAATAGAAATAATCTGTACAAAAATTTAAATTTTAGTATTGATTAAAAAATTTTTTTATACATAAAGGTTCACATATCCATACATATATAATACATTCGGTATGTAGAACAAGAGTAAATTAAATTAAAAATATATGAAGTATTTGGAAATTGAATTATATAAATATATAAGTATGTAAAAATAGTCAAATATACATCATAAATGCACATACATAAGTATAACATTGTGACTGGTGATATTGTAATTTTAAAGGATACGTCACGTTCAACAAAATATTATTATAATTTTTGATATTTAGTTTTTTTTTCTCTTTAAATTTATTTTTAAAATTTTTGCATTTCTGTAAATATTTAATTTTTTTTTTTTTGTTAATATTTTTGCTAACAATAAAGAAAAAAATTCGTTTTAAATGAAAATTTACTATTATACATACATACATACATACATATTTGTGTGTTTATTTTTATATTTGATTTGAATGGGAAATTCTTAAAAATAAATTTCTTCATATTTTTGAATATTTATGGATGTGAATGTATTTGTGTAAAATACAATAAAAGTATTTATGATGAAAAGGATATTTTAAGAAATTTATTAATAAAGAATATATATATATATATGTATATTTTGACGTAATATTATTTATATGCAAAAAAGACGTTGGCGAAAACAAAAGCGATTTTTTAGCGAAATTTCGAAAATTTAAATAAGAATAGAAAATCAAGTTATTTTGAAGTGTAAGTGCTTTCAATTCACGTTATATGTTTGTAATTATAGCGTACATACATACATGCATATATATATTTCTAAAAATATTTTTCTTAGTTGAATTTATACAAATTTTTTGTTTGATTATGAAAAATTAAAAAAAATGTATGTAGTCGTGTGAAGCATCAAATTTTTTATTCTTGTCACTGGTTTTTTTTTTCCAAGATATCTGAGCGTTGCGTTGAATTATTGTTTTGGAAGATTGTAAGACTGGGATTTTTCATTTTCCATTTTTACTGCTTTTAATTCTTTTGACTTATGCAATGACATTGATGCAAAACAAAAATAAAAAATATAAATATGCAATTAAAAAATTCAAAAGTTAAAAGAAAACTTAAGGAAAACATCTCGTTGCTTGTTCTAAATTTAATGTACTTTACATTAAATTTAGTATAATAGAATTATTGAGAGATTTGTTCCATAAGGATTTTAAAAACATAAAAATTGATGACTTTAATATTTTTATCTTATTGAATTTTTTTTTTCTAACATTTCTGTATACTAAATATTTCTACTAATACTAAGAGTGAATACCAAGTATATACCTTGATATCCAAATTTCTGTAATACTACATTGTTATACAATTGAGCTGTTTTTATATATCTTGCAAAGTAACCGCACAAATTTTTTCAAAACTCACTTTTAGAAAGAAGCAAAGTGTGTCTGGGACAGAATAGTAAAAGATATTTATGTATCATTAAAGATAATTGTGTACCAGAAATCTAATCTGAGATATGAAACAACAACATAGTCTTTGGTGTCGTTTAAATAATTATTCGAATTAGCAAAGCGAAAGTATTTCAATCATAATAGAATTTTAGTAAAACTTTGTGACCGATAAAAATTTTTTTCGTAATATCAGTTTATTTCAATGATTGAAAGTGGAATTCATCGCATTATTAGAATAATAAAATCTGAAAAGAATATTAAAAAATATTTTGCATTTTTTCAAAACTTTTATTTTTAATAACAAAACTGCACTGTTTCGTTAATAACAAGACTGTTAAATCTTAAAATACATAAGAGTCTAAATTGGAATTTTATTTTTTATTCTACATAATAAGTATATTTTATATTTCCTATCAGAGTTAAATTTTAGTTCTTTGTTTAAAAGTCTGTTAGTTGTTATAAAAATCCTGCAAATTTACGATTATTCTGGAAAAGAATAAAAATTTTTTATTGTATTCGAATTCAAATCTACAATAGCTCTAACAATAGATTGAATTGTTATAATGAATTATTAGTGGTGTATGTTGTTTTAAAGGAAAATTATTTGCAAAAGGTAGTTTGTCTAGTTTTATGAAAATTGGATGAATCGTATACAAAAGAATGGGGTATCACAAATAATTTTTGATTCCAATAAAAGTTTCTTGAAAGACTATAAACTAAATAACATAAATGGTTTACTTTATTTTCTTAGATATTGTTAGATTTCTAACGTGTTTCAAAAAACAGGACATATGAAGATTTGAATTGTTAAATTCAAAAATTTTAAATCAATAATATCGATTAAAAGTTTTGACAAGGTGTAGAAAATCATTTTGATTTTATTCATTTCCAATTCAATATACAATTTGTATGTGTAAAATATAGAGGATTTTTGAGAAAATCAATTTTATTTAGTATTTTATAACAGTTTCACTTTCACAAATTTATCACTGAACAAAAATATAAATATTTTAAACTTATGTTGTTTATCATCATGAAAAATTCTTATTTTCACTTTTCAAATTCTTTTGAAATAAAATTATATTAAAAGTTTTATAATATTTTTTTTATTTCGTGTACAGCTAGCTATCATAAATATTTTAGTTGTTTTCGATACAAAATGGCATATGTTTCGTATAGAAAGAAGTAAGTTATAAAAGTTTACAAGAACTTTAGAAATATTTTTCTATGTAGATATACTTTTTATTTATTTTAATATTTTCGAATTTTAAATTAATATCGAAACGACGCAATCCCGACTGTCTCGCGATTTGAAATATATTCAAAGGCTCTTCTATAAATTTTACTAATAAATTTTTTACATTAGTTTGTGTATTACTATATACTCGTACATTACCTGTAGCTGCTCTTTGCCAAAGGAAACATATATAATAAATATGCAATGTCTTTTATTTTAAAGTAAATTATAAATTTTTTGTATAACGGAAATTGAGTATTACCTTATGATTAAATATTAATAAAAATCCTTTCAAATAGAAAAATTATTTATCAAAATATGATTCGCATCACGGGTATAAACTGTATCAATTTTTGAATTCCCCCAAACAACAAAAATGTGTTATGAAAAGATCTACTTTTCTCAATTCGAAATTTTCACTTTTTTTCAAAAATTTCTCCAAAAATTTTTTTTGTATAACCTCTTTTCCCTATACGAGCACTTTAAAAAATATTCAAATATGCGTACGTATGTAGCACAATATTATTTTGGGAATTCAAATGTCATTTTGAATTTTATGAATTTTTAAATAAGAAAGAAAAATCTAATTTTGTTTTCTTTATAAAATCTTAAAGCTATATGAATGAGTGTTAATCTTTTAGGTGACATTTCGCTTTTTCTCAACAATTTTTTTTTTTTTTCGTATTCATATCTTATGATGATCCTTTATATTTTATACTATGGCTGATAAAAAATTGTTGATAAAGTTGTAAATTTATATTTATGATTACATACATTATTTTAGGTATACTGTGTACACAACTGTTGTGGCTTCTATTCATCGTTCTGTTTAATAGTATAAGGGGAAATTTTTCTTTATTTTATAAATGAAAGGAAGGAAAATAAGAACATAATTTTGTTATTTAAAATTATGTATTTATAAAATAATATATACAACTTGAACTTTAGAACAATAAATATTAAATTATCTTTTAAAATCCAAATGGTATAAACATCTAATTTGAGGTGGCAAAAAAAATGTATTTGTGTATAATAAATTAATAAAAATTTATCATTTTTATGTTAGAAAGTGTCCTTTCTGAAGGTTAAATATGTAACCTATATGTATACATATACATATTCATATACAAATGTGAAATATTTTATGATATTTATAACAGCTTCCATTAAAAATATATAATAATATAATTCTTGATGTTTTTCTGTAAATTCTTGTACTGGTTTAAAAAAATGTATATGATACAACGACCATCCTCTCCTATAATCAAGAATTCTTAAAAGTTTAAATTTTATTATTAGAATTCTAAATCAGGGCAAGAGTATCACAATATAAATAAATCGTAAGACTTCACAATTGAAATCTAATAAAATTTAATTTGGTGTGTGTTATCGTATATTTATGATAATCACACATATTAATATGAATTCGTGTACTATGTGTGTAAATTTGTGCTATAAGAATGAAATTTTAATCTTGTAGAACATACTATTCACATAAAATTTAAGGTATATGAAGGAACTAAGTATAAAATTACAAAATTTGTTAGGGATCATATTTGAAAAAAAAAATGTTAAATCTTTATCTTACAATTAGCTTTGAGAATTTGAGTGCTCTGTTCACGATAACATTTTCATATTGCAAAATATCAAATATCTACCCTTATCAGTTATACGTCTGTAAGTCTAATAGTGTATTCTCTATATACATACATACATTCAGTTCGTAATTTGATATTTGACCCAACGATAATTTTGTGATTAAGGTAGTTTTTGACATTTTCTCTTAAATATAAAAGCAATAGAACTATATTTGTGTTTTGCATGCCATAATTAAAAAATATTTTAATTAATTTTCAAATTTTTTGTGGTGCTTTACAATATTTTAACATACTTACCTATACATAAAATTTTTTTTTTAATATTTAATTTTTTATTTTTATTTTTAGGTAAGTTTGTTGTTGCATATTAATGGAAAATTTCAAGTTGTATGGCTGTGACTTTTTTCTTTTTCGGGATATATGAGAAAATATGATTTAACATGCGAAATAAATTTAAACGAGAAACGGCAAAAGAAAAGTTAACTGTAAATAAAATTGTTTTTATAAATTAAAGAAATTTAAATTTTAGTAATACTTTAAAAAATTGCATACTTTTAGGAAAATTTTCTGAAATTTTAAATACACAACCTACTTACATAGCTGTCTGATAATATTAGATAGATACTACAAATTACGATATTAGAATTTAACGAAATTATTTTATTAATTTTCGCCTGTATCTATGCAACAGTTCGTTTTCTCAATATCTGTGTATTGAGTAATACTCTCAGTAATGAGTGGATAATATTAATCGTTAAACTTTCGAAAAAACTGAGTTAGTAAAGTTTCACATTAAATTCTACAGTTTTTCTTATAAGTATATTCTAGTTTAATTTTGAATGGAAATTTTTATACATTTAAAAATAGAAAATGTATTAAGAGTTTAAATAAAATCGAAATGAAGAGAATTAAATATTAACTGAACGGAAAGTGTTTGCAAATCGCTTCCTTTTTACTCATATTCCTAGTAAACACTCGTTTTTTGTCAGTGAATGCACAAAGATTATTAAGTACACATATAATATTTGCAATCATTTCTCTTTCTAAATTAAAAAAAGAAATCCTTACCAGACACTTAAATCGCCATATTTGATTACGAATCTATTTTTTAGTTTTTTTTTTGCTATTTTTCCATGTACATTCCTTAAGAATTCACTTTTTTCAACTACGATGTTTGTGTTACGATATTTAAATATAGATCCGCTTTTTCTTCTTATTCTTTAGTCATGGTGTACAATGGTATAAATTTGAAATTATCAAAGAAAATATCTACTACGAAATAGGAACAATATTTTTTTTTTTTTGCCTTTTCTTTCTTGAAATTAATGTTCCCTAAACAATTGAATTTAACTAAAAATTTATTAGAACTTCTGTTTCCTTATCGCAAAATATTATAACTATGATTTCATTGTGGAAAAAATAATAGAGGACAGAAAAAGGAACAAGAAATCAACAAAAAAAAAAAAAATAAAAATAAAAAGGAAAAAGAGAATCAAAATAAGGACCAAAATAAAATCGATTTTTATTAGAGGCAATTGTCAAAAATATTTCGGTAAAAGTTTATCAATGAAAGAGAAGTTTAATAAAAATTTTTCGAATATGAAAATTTTTCTATAAAAGAACATTTTGCGTGCCTAAATTTAATGAAGCCCTTCTTTCATTGGGATTATTAAAAATATTCAAATATTAAGAATTAGTTTTACTTAAAATCTTTTATAGCAAGAGGTGATCTCGTAGTGTTCAATATTTTCATGTTGTATTTATTGGCTGCTCATAAACTGAAGGCAAATTCGATTAACTGATACTACCACTGAGCTACTACTACTTCAACTGCATTAAATCAAAGTTTGGAATTAAGCGTAATACGTAATGGTCTCAGTCAATTGAAATATTAGTGCGGTTTCAAACTTCCTTGCATTAATTATAGACCAAAATTTGTAAAATAAAAATACTATGTTACCAATTTTTTTATTACAATCATTAGAGCATTACAAAACATATTTTGTTCCACGACTTCATTAAGACTCCTTTAGTATTAACACATTAGCATTTCGAATATTTGTTCGTGAACTTAAAACAGTTAAATACTAAAATTCATAAATATAAAAAAAAAAGGATTTTCATATTAAATTTTTTTTGATGTTATCCTAATGCGACCTACATTAATGTTAGTATTTTGTTACAATCGATTACAAAAATAAACGTTTTTTTTTTCTCTCTTTTTTAGTTTTTATATTTTCAAAACTTAAAGATTGTGAACCCAAAATATGATTGCAAAAGATATTATGAGCGGTACTGAGGCATGCACACATAACGTTTGCATCTTTTTTATGTGAAAGATTAGTATAACAGAAATTAGTATCATATTCATATCAACTTACTAAATTCAAAAATAAGTATTAGTTACAGTAACTCTTGAAATAAATTCAAGTACATCTAGGTCAGTTGTCAACTATTTGGACTCTAATAGCGAAATAAGTTTTATTGCGAGGTAACAATAAAACGGTAAAATTTTCATCCTGTTTCTATATATTTAGAAGCTCAATTACTGCCTTCATATTGAGAAGAAAATTAAACATAGATATTAAATTTTTTAAATGACGTGTAACAGTTAAAAAAATAAACTTTAACAATTACTGTTATAACAATAAGTGGATTGTGTATGATTGCATTAACAACATTTTCTTCGATTTAACTTTGTTTATAGGTAAAAGAGAGAAAAAAATAAATAAATAAAATAAGTAAATAAATAAGTATATAAGAAGTTTTAAGAAAATATTTGAAAATAATCGGTACGCAATCTGCTCTAAATTTATGTCGGGGTATAAAATTTAACATAAGATAATTTTCAATATTATTTTTATTGTCCAATTTTGAAATCAAAGATTAGTATCGTATTGAAATTTATTAGAGGACTTTGCAATATTATAAGAATTGATTAAAATTTTAGAATATTGTTCTTTACTTTTTTGTATATATACTCGTATTCTTTATAATGGGGTTCTAGTACAATGTATTTAATACTTACATATAGATACAAGAATTTATTGTCATAGTATTTTTTTTTGTGTATTTTCAAAAATTTAATTTAATTGCTTTTTTTTTATGTAATTGAATGTAATGTTGAAAATATTGTGCTAAAATTGTAAAGAGAGGGAGGCAAATTAATAACAAGAAGAAAAACAAAAAAAAAAGGACAAAAAATGGAAAATAATTAAAAAAAATTAAAATTATTTTAATGTTTTCTAAAGAATTTAAAAATATTGAATAGGCTTAGTTTAAGAAATTTAAGAGAATTAGGAATTATATAACACCATTAAAAATTAAAAAATAAAAGAGTTTAACTTGAAGTAAATGGTTTATGGTTAGATTTATTTAAAATTGAGATATTAAACAATTATAGATAAACCTTAAACTTGAATGAATAAGTTTGGATGTGAAAATTTTCTGAATTGAATTACTCTTTTCTTTTTCAATTAAATTTTCGCACTTTTTCTCAAATTATCAATTGACTTTGTCACTCGAAAGTTAAATTAGACAAATATATACTCTCTCAATTTTTTCTCTTTCGGCACGGCACACTCACTGACTTTCTTTTCGATCGGTAAGCAAAAATTCATTCAATTAAATTTATTCCATTCAATTGAAATTCTCAATTAATTTTACTTTTAATTGTAATAATTTTAGAAATGCTTTTAAAAATTCATGAAACAACGTCATGCAACAGAAAAGCGGTCATACAAACTGCATTTTCGAAATCTTGAATTACAAGAAACGCACTAAATTACATTGAAACTCTCATATAATAACAATTTAAGTTCTAATGATATAAAAATTATTTCTATTTTATATCATAATTAAATGGAATTATGTGTACTTAGTACGTATACTTCTAAAATCAATTTCTATAGTAACATAAATTAAGCAAAGAGTGTATGTAGTTGTAAATATGTACATAATACATAGTATACGTAATTGTGAATATACGAGTATAAGAATTAAATAAGAAATTTTTATTAATTATTGCGTGCTATAACTATATATTGAAATGAAATCCTATAAATTTTATTTTCTCCGAGAAAAAAAAATTGATTTATGCGTAGCTACCGTTTTCATTTTTCCGAACCTATAGGTATACAGATAGTAAAAAGAAAAGAAAATTTGTTGTGAACATAAGGATCATAAATAGTAAATTTATGATAATCCTTTTTTGTTAAAATTATGTAAGAAATTAATTTTTCCATCTTAAGGGAATTATAGGTTGAGTAGGATATTTTTATTTTATTTATTTTTTTGCTTATATTTTTATTTGCTTTTATTTTTTTTTTTTTGTTAACATTTGGATACCAAATTTTTAATGATTAAGATGAATTAGTTCTATATTGTAGAATTTTATTTTATTGGTGAATTTTATGTTCTACAAATAAATTGCTTATCAGTATGAAAAAAAAATCACAATTTAGAGAGTTGCGTCCAAGTGATTACGTGTAAAAAAAATTTTTGCAATTAACTATTTGTGTAACTATAACTGTTATACTAAAGATTTCACTTTGAATTTTAAAACATTCGTCTATTTTAAATGTAAAAATTACACTTTTAGTTTGATGTGAAACTTTTGTAACTCTCTTTAACATAATTTGTTTTAAACATAATCAAACTAAGCATAAATTTTCAATTAAAAAAAGGATGTTTTTCTATAGTATTAAATGATTTTCAAATTTGCTTTTATAGCGTACAAGTAGTGCGCCTTAAATTTTAATATTTTATTCGTATAGTTTGAAATATAACAATGTCAAATGATCGATATTAAAGATTAATTGAGTAATTGAATTATCAGGGTATACCTTTAAACTAAACATTCATACAAAATGCACTATACTATTTATATTGAATAGGCAAAACATACTACTCCCACATATATGCAAAAACATGCATATGTAAAGGTTATCACAAATAGTCACAACATTTGAGTGTAAAATACAGGAGAATATAAAAATAAAAATGATAAAAATGAAGGATGTTCTCCTTTCATTTTTGTTTTATTTTTGTAGCAGTTGTAGAGACACATTCAGAATAGTAAATTGAGAAAACAAAAAAAAAAAAAAATAGGAAAAAAAAAAATAATAAAAGCGTTTTTACAGATGATGCGTGTGACTTTTTTAAGGATCATTTCATGTCTATAATATGGAAGAGAAGTTTTTATTTTCAGAGGCTATTTTTTTTCCTCTATTTTTTCAATTCAAAGGTCCAATTTCATATTAAATTTTCTATCAGTAAATCTTGTAGTCGTAGAAAACGCATGTTATCCTGTAAAATATTTTGTACACATATAGATAGACTTGTGCTTACTAAAATCCAATTAAATTTTTAAAAAATAATGTTAAAA